GGCCTCAGTTTCAAACTCTGTTTCGTCTTTGAGATTAATGATTAGGCTTATCTTCATTAATGACTTGTACCAGCAATGAGTTCTATAGTTGTCAATGAAAAATTCAGTTTGTCACAGAATCATAGAATAGTTAGGGTTGGAAAGGACCTTAAGATGATCAAGTTCCAACCCCGCTGCCACGGGCAGGGACACCTCACACTAAACCAGGTCACCCAAGGCTCTGTCTAACCTGGCCTTGAACACCACCAGGCATGGAGCATTCACAACTTCCTTGGGCAACCCATTCCAGTGCCTCAGCACCCTTGCAGTAAAGGACTTGCTCCTTATATCCAATCTGAACTTCCTCTGTTTAAGTTTTAACCCATTACCCCTTGTCCTATCACTACAGTCCCTAATGAAGAGTCCCTCAAACTCCCATGAGTTTTCTACACTTTTGTGCCTGGCTGTTCCAAAACCATCCCAAAAGCTTTATAATTTTTGTAATTGTTACCGTGCATTATATAAGTGGTGTACCTAAATCTCCTGAGCAGAGATTAAATGAACTGCTTCGTATCTCTATGTACAACAGAAGTGAATCTTGCCTGGAGCACTGGTTAGAATGGAGGCCTTGGCTAGGTGAACAGTGACCAAGAGTAGTGTGTGAGCACTTTGAGTGGCACATAAAAAAGTAGGTTTTTCTTTCATATCTTGCTTAAGATTTAGGTCTTGGCAGCCTGGAGGTGGCCTTTATCTATCATGAGGTAGAACTACCGTAAAACCCAGTGAAATTTGCAATAGTGTTGCAACAATGTTGGCAACTAGGAATTTTTCTGCTGTCTTTATAGACTAACTGCAAAACATGAGCCTGGGCTTCTTTTTCTCGTTCGTTTTGGATGACAGAATCTGTTTCATATTGTCTATTTGCATACTGGGTTTATCTGCTCATAGGTGTTCTGTATCTGGGGAAAAAATGTGCAGAGTGCATAAAATAGAGTTGATTATCACATGGTTATTAAAGTTTTGGGTTTCTCAGTTAGAAAATGGTGGAAGAATTTGCATATATTTACATAGGTGCATATGTATTGGCTACTTCTATTTGTCAGGCTGGCATCTTGGGAGTCCTTACTGTGAAGATGAGCTTTACACAGGGACATTTTGACCCTCTAAATATAGAAGTTTGCAAATATGGTGTGTAGTCTATGAAAATACAGAAAGTAAGAGAAGACTGGGAAGAACACTATATAGGAAAAAATGCTACTGTGTTACTTGTTTATTAAATAGGACTAAGTTATATTTTGAGAGAAAATATTGCAGATGACTTAAGAATTATTAGAAGTACTGAAAAATTATGCAGGGAAGAATGAACACAGCATTGCTTCATTTACAGAACCAGTACGATAGAACATGATAGATACAGAAAGATAATAAATAGTATAAAGAAAATGAATTGTGTTTGAATATGCTTCCCCTACAGTTAGACTAATCAGATATTCAGTGAAGTTGAATGGTCGCACTTTCAAAGCATTTACAAGAAATTTTAGATTTTTTTTCTTATATGTTTGTAATTAACCTCTGGAACTCATTGCTACAATATCTTGTAGAAAACAAATTTTTGTGAGATTTTCAAAAACAATAATGTAACTCTTGTGTATATATATGTATATAACATGTAGAGCTGTTCCAGATAGAATTAGAGATACGTTAGCTGTATGAAATGTCAGTGGTTCTAGTATTGAGGCAAACGCTGATAGGAGTTACAAAGAGCCTTCCCTTGTGCAAGTGGTATATGGTCTTTTCTGTGATGAGGTTTGGATTTCAGTGGCCTTTGAAGTGATTGTCCGAACCTGAATCTCGTATACAGCCCTGTTGTATAGTTGGTTAGTTATCTTTTCTTGTTACAGCCTGAGAGGTCTTTGTGGTTTGATATTGAGGCGTTAAAACTGAGCGAAATTTGTATTACTTAAGGTAGTTTATTTTGCTTTACACAGCCTCTTCTACTAGAGAATTAGGGAAGTTCTGTATTAAGTGATATTTCAGCTGCAACAATGACATCTAGGGGCTGATTTATATTAATTTAACTTAGATATGTATCTCCATTTTTTTTAAGGTAGTTACTAGCAAGTTTACTAAATTATTACTGTTTGCTGAAACGCTGGAAATCTGAAGTGTCGTATATTCAGAAAACAGCCATGACATTTAAAAATTCTTACTTTTTGTGCTTTGTTTTATCTTGATCTGTCTTTTAGTTATTTTAGTACCACTAACACTGCAAATAGTGAATCTCTTACTGCTTTAGAGCTTGTATTTTTCCATGATATGTTATCAAATTGTGAGATTTTTTTCGCTCTCTGCTTGATGCATATTCTACAAATTAAAGGGAAATATCTTTGACTCTCTTCTCTTATATGGCTTATTGCATCTCCTAAAATCACATCTACTTTGTTTTGTACAGGAAATAAGACAAAAATAAGACAAAATCCCTATATTCAGTCCCCTGTTTCCGCCAGCTTTATGGGTGTGTAGATAAAGGCTTGACTCCAGATTTAAACCCCGTGATTCAGGGCCACCTCTAAGCTATACGTAAATCCAATTTTATGCATGCAAGTAAGTGTATACGTAAAATGCCTAATTGCAATTTAGAGATGATTTAACAGCGTCTGTCCTATTATTTGTAAAATTACTTTCTTTCCCTTGAATCTTAGTTATTTGGCTGTAAGTCACTTATTTGGAATTGCTTTTTACAGAAAAAAAATTTCTATATTTCATTCCCATCAGCTTCTTCACTGATGGTTACAACTTTTTCTCAGGAATAAGAGAATATAATTTTTCTGCAAAATTCCCCTCATGCCATTCTGTGGAATATGTGGTGCTGTTTTTAACATACTGACATTTCATTGGTATTGAGAAGAAGAGACTTGAAAAGGAACCCTTGACTGTAAGAAATAGGGAAAGGCTCATCTTTTTCCTTAATAGTTCCTTAAAACTTTTGAGTCATATTTGTTGTTTTGGGAGAGTGTTGCTCAAGTCAGTAAGATTAAACCTTAAAGTTAAGTTTTGTAAAATGTAAAACTTAGAGCTGTATTTTCATAGGACCTGTCAGTCAGCTGTTAGGAGGCACTCAGTTTAAGAGAATGTGAGAAATCACCTGACATGAGATTGCTGATGATACACTAAGAGTAGAAGTGAGGGTAAACCAACTTCCTTCATACCTTTTCTGGTAGGTATGTAAGAGAAAGAAACTACAACCAGGTGAGCTGAAAATAGTGAGACATTAAGGAAAGCTTCACCTTGGCTCAAATTAAGGTACTGAAATGTTCTCTACAATAAATAAAGGTGTGTTGATACAACTATACCAGCGGGAACATAGATAATGCGCAGACATTCTACTGGCACAGCAATTCTTTTTACAATTGCTGTATTTGCTGGTTTCATCTGTGAAGTAAGTGAAAGCTTATTTCTGGCTGTGATACTGGCAAAACATAGTTATAATGACATTCTGTGTTAAGTCTTACACAAAAATGTAAAAAGATTACATTCCTAACTCCTATTAGTATGTTAGTAGATTATTTTTATGGACTTGGTCCAAGTATCACAGTGGGCATATGTGCCTCTCAGTGGAAGGTCTGCAGTGAGTGTAAAGCAGCCGAGGATAAATCTGAGTGGTAGCTGAATGTGAATGGGAGTGGAGGAAGGAAGAAACAGGAAAGAAAAATTTACAACATTCTCAGAAAATAAGTAACGATTCTTAATGTCTATTTTAGCCTATATCAGTATAACACTGACATTTTATGATTCTGTTTTGCAAAGGAGTGGGTTTGCAGCAGTGACTGAAGATAGTAGGATGCGTTATGACTTCAAATGTTTCAAACACCAGTTTTCTTCTGCCTTCGAAAAAACACATTTAAAAAATAGCTGAACCATGACATACTCATTCATATATTGAGGCAAAATATGGAATCAAGAACACTGGATCCTCTGAAACCAGGGCACTTCAGGGAAAATTGTTAGGGGATGAGCTAGAATTTGTCAATTCTTTGGACTGGATTCTGCAGTGATCTAGGGTAGTGAAAGCCTCTGAGAGTCAATGGGATCTAGCTTTCTCTCTAGCCTGTCCCTTTACCAGTTTACTGTTCTCTACAGTTGTAGGAATGATATGCCCTCTGTTAGGTGACAACTGGACCTTACTGCCATCTTTTTCTTCTTTTTTTGTGAATGATAAATCAGTAGCTTTCATTCTTAAAAGGTGTTTCACCATTGTCTTCCAAAGACTCAGGGCTTCTCCTAGCCCTTGTAATATGCACTTTTCTGTGTCTTTATTAATGTAAAGATGGTCTGTGTACTAAGGACTCATGTGTTTTAAATTAGTGAGAATCATAAGGAGAGTTTGGGTTGTTTTTTACTGCTGAATTTGCCATGGGGAAACTCCACTTTGAATAAAGACAGAAATTATTTAACTCTACAGAAAACATCAAGGCAGTTCCTAGAGACTTGCCACATGATGTACTATATTTTAATGTCTATTATTATTTTCACTTTTTATTACTTTGCATAGATAGTGCTATTTTTGCGAGTTCTTACTCCAAGCAGTGCTTTCTTAGATATGTAATTCAATTAAAGCAGTGTAGAATGTGATTTGTTACTGGCAGTTGTAGCAAGGGGAATCATATGCACAAAGACTCCTACAATGATGACAGCAAACTACCGCTCTTTTTCTTGTTACAGTTGGTGAAAATACATGTCCTTTGCATTCTTAAGAGAAATTAACTGTACGGGAAATGTTGCGTTATAGCAGATCCATTCTGATCACAGTTACATTTTCCCCCAGTGACTGTCCTTGGTGTGTGTTTTACGTATACAAGAGAATTCATTTGTGAATGACAAGTTGCAGTAGAATTGGAATCAGACCCTACATTACATAAATCAGTATTTCACAAATAAAAGGAGATCTATTAAAAAGAATTTGACTCTCTGGGGTTCTAATACAGTCAATATTCCTGTAATTGATTTAATTGCATGAATTACTTTTTCCTCCTTGTTAAATCTGTTATTGTAGACTAAAATGCACTCATTTCTGGTGCGAGAGAATTTCTGGCTTATGTACTACATGCTAGCTCCCAAAGGATAAAATAATACCAAAAATTTGTAAATCCAGCCATGTGTGACACTGTGGTATATACATATAACTTAATTTCAGTAGCCATTACTAATATAGGCCAGAATAAAGTTATTAAGGTTTCCTGCTCAGCGTAACTTTAATCAAAAAATAACAAGTGCTTTTGAGTACTTCTCATATCATTAAACCTGATTGTGTTCTTCAGCAAATGTTCTGGCTAGTCCTGGCAACTTCCCTTATGTTCCATAGATTGATCTCTTCCTGCAGACATTTTCTTACTTAAAGTTCAATCTGTTTTTTGCCAAATGGGATTATGTAGGGTTTTTTAAATCACGCGCATATGTGCTTGAGGTGGCTTTTAAGCAGTAGATTGAAGTTTTAGGGTGTGACATTTTTCAGAGAACTTTAGCATAGAAGGCACCTGAACCTAACCTTGATAAAGTTTGCAAAATTTATATAGCCTTTGACGTATTTGTGATGTGTATGATGGTGTAACACTTCTGTTATGCCCCCATAAAACCTTTAGGAGTACAAACATACAATTTCTGAGCATCCTTACATTACAAGCAGACAACACTGCAGATATTTCATAGTACCCAATAAATATATTTTTCCAGTTTTCATCATTAAAATATTTATTTGGCCTCCAAAGCCTTAAATAAGAAAATTTATGCAACTTTCCTGTCTGTGCGACAGAACTTGTGCACTTGTTCCCTCAAAATATGTATTAAAATCATAACAGGAACTGGAGTTCTCCATCCTACTGTGATTTTCGCCTGAAAGTCTAAAAAAGCAGCAAGCAAACAAACAAAACCCTGTAAATTTTAAATTCCCTTTTCAAATTTTCTGAGTCAAATTCTTGTTCATGAGTTTGTGTAAAATTAGGAGCTCATAGTTTGGCTCACTTTATGAACATTCCTTGACACTGAAAGATTATTTTCTGTAACCCTTAGCGCAGTGTGTGCATGCAGGTCTCCAGGTGCCTGTGTTCACTTCCATGAACATAGGGAAGTAAAATCGTGTTTTCACTGCAGATATACATGTGGAATCTGCACACAGTGAGCATTGAACTGCATGAAAACAAAGGAGTCTCTTCATTCTTAGTTATTGAATCTTGTTACTGTTTATATATTAGACCAAAATGAACCATCACACTTTTCTGTAGTGACCTTGAGGTGGCAGCAGCATTACATTCAATTCTGCCAGACACCAAGTCCATTAAAGGGGAAAGTAAAATTTGCAATAAATCAAAATAATACTGATTGTTATAATTTTATTACCAGAGCATTAAGTCAATAAAACTTATCTGAAATGTCATTTGCATTGTACACAATTTTTACTAGTTATCAAGTATGTTTTAAAAGCATGTTTAAAGCAACCAAATGAAGAAATCAGTGATAAATTGTTGGAAAGCTGGGACTTGTCTAATGATGTAGTAAAACTAAAGTCTGTTTTGATCTCTGCTATTGTAAAAGACTGTTTCTGAAAGCATTTGTTCGTACAGTAACATCTTGGGTCTTGACTGACTGATGTCTGATTAAATATTTTCCTGCAAGTTGTCAGGTCCTTTTTCATTCATGATTTTATGTAGAAAGGTCATCTAATTATATGACACCCTTTCAGTGAAGGAGAATGTGTTTGTTTCTTTTAATAATGAGGAATAATGAAACTTATTTATGTTGGAAGTCAGAGAAATTTATTGGAGAATTACAACATGAGAAACATGAAAATTAAAAAAACCCTTTTAATAGCATATTCATTACCAAGAAGCTCACAGGTAATGAAATAGTTGTATGAAAGCCAGTATATTGGGTGATATAATACTGCTCATGTCAGTTTTCAGGTTATGGTTGTTGGACATTTCTATGTTGTCAATTACTATTAGGTTACAAAATTATTATTAGCTAATTAGTCAAAATAGGAGACACTAGAAGAAAAGGTTAAAAACATTTGTTTTTTACAAACTTTGAATCAGCTTCTGGCTGGGAAGCTGGTTGGTGTGTAGTAATACTCCACAATGATCCTGGGGCGTGGGTTTTGTTGCCGCTGTTCTGCAAGACTAGCGCAAGTTTGGTCTGGAAGTCAAACGAGGTATCTGTTACTCAATTTAGTGATGTTGAAAAAACAACATTCAAAACTAGTTATCATAACTAATGCAGGAAAATAATGTTACTAATGTGTTTATGTAACAGTTAAAAATGGATTTGAAGGAAACCCTTTGTCTGACTGCTGCTAAAGGAGTCCCAATTACTGACTAAAGATAGCTTATGTAATAGTTGAAATAATGCAGTGATAATTTAACAAAAAATAAGGTTATATGTTGATAATTTAAGTTTGTCATTTATTCAATATTTAGGGGTTTATGTTTATTCTAAGACAGGACATTTAGACCAGTTTACCCCTATATTCACATTTCACTTGTTTTATTTGTTGACCAGTTGTTCCTTGACAACTTTTTCAATACCTCATGAAATACAAATATTAAATATAAACTAGTATAGCAACATCTAAACAAAAATATAAATATATGTTGAATTATAGTTCCAGAATGATGTGTTAGTAGATTTAAAAAGCAGATGGAGAATTACAAACCAGAAGCCAAACAGAGATTACAACACATGAATACCATTTGGGCTGTGCCAGTGGTTATCACAGCCAATACAAATAGTATTACTTCAACTAAGACATAGAGTTGGTCTTTTACTTCTTCTGATTAGTACTTTATTTTTTTCTTTGTCACACTTTGATGGTTTTTAAGCTGACTTCTATGATTTTACAGTGTCCAAAGTTATGGATGCGGCAGAATAACCGAAGAAACAGTATTCCTGTGAGGAATGTAATTCACTGTGAGTCTCTTTCTTCTTTCTTTCTGATTTTAACCTTATGGCTCTTTATCATCAAAATGTATTTATCTCAGAAGTAAAAGTGAAGCAACACTGTATATGAGCTGAACATATTACATAGCGAGTAATTTTTTTTAAGACATATGTATAGAAATGAGGTTTAGAGGATACCCTTAATTTCTGTAGATCAAGAACCTTGATTGTCAGTATCTCAAAAGCTGAGATTTGCTTTTGTTTGTCTTTAGAGAACCATAAACACACATTTTGTTGGAGAAATAGAAAAATTGCAATTGTCACAGTGGGGGCTCTTTGTAAGGATACAAAATTCAAATAAACAGGTTGCCCTCGACTTCAGTGGGAGAAGAATCTACTATAGATGTTGCAGAATATTCCAGAGCTTTTGACCTGGAGTCAGTCTTTTAGAATTTATTCAAGTGTTAGTTTAGCATTTGTCAAATGCTCAGGCATTAATGTTAGCAAGACTTTAAGACCTTGTTGTCCTGAAATCAAAATGCTGTCTTAAAAGTAACCTTGCTATGCTGAAATGGAAGGTACCTGATGTGATCTGTCTCTTTTGGTTAAGCTGTGCAGTATATGATAAAAGGTATTTTATTATTTTGTGCAGTAATTTGTATAGCAAGGATTATATTGCAGACTGTTCAGTTAGCAATACTACTGTTCGGTTAAATCACATTACCTTGGACATTAAAACAATCATTCTAAAACATGATTTATAATGATTTGAACATGTTTGTAAAAAATAGATGACTGTTGTACATTTACAGTTGACACGGAGGTCCCTAATGCCAAGAAAGCATTCTTGACCTTGATGGGTAGTTGCAATTCCATTTAAATCAATTGCCAATACAAGTCAAATGAAGTTCTTATGGCTGTCTAGTGTGCACTTCCCTGTTCTTCTGACATTATTGGTCTACTCCAAGTCATTCTTCAATCTTTTAACAGCTGAAAGGGACCTGCATTCTGCAGCTTTATGAGAAAGCAGCACTAAGTTGTACTTCTCTGTATTTTGAAAGCTTCCACTCTTTGACTGACTTTATTTCCAAATTAACTAAGCAAATCCCATCTTTTCCTACATAAAATAGAGTACTTGGTCTCTTGCTGGCAAAGCCAGGCTTTTCCCTACTGCAGAGAATACAGAATACATTTTGTGCACCTACAATCTTACTGGTCATTCATTTAATTTGATAGAAAATAAACTGATCTTTCAACTCTGAAAACTGAAGATCTTTGTTAGTTTAGCTTTATTAAAAACTTTCTTTATGTTAAATGTGACATATTCTAAACATAATTTACGTTAACAAAGATGGTGAATACAATTTTTGGGGTGTTTTTTTGGGGTGGAAGAGAAAGGGGCACCAATTCAGAAAAATAACTTGGAAATTTATCCTGTGTTTGTGCATGTCTGGATGTTTATTTCTACAAAAGATATTGCTAAAACCGGAGATGAATATATGAAAAGAGACAAGAAGTTTAGTCAACAGTCTTGGTAAAATTTTAAGGTTACTTATGAATGTGTTAATCTCTTTGCTCAAATAAGAAAATCCTTAGATATATATAACTTTCTAAAATACCTGGGGTTTGTGTGATTAACTTACTGGTAATATTTTACTCTTAATATTTTTACTCTTCTAAATGAATTTAAGTGTCTCCTTTTTGACTAGTGGGAATATTAAAAGGTCAGATCATGGCACAGTTTATGAGACTCACAAACCCTGAGTACAGACACTTTTTTAAAGACAGATAATACAAACTACAGCTAATCTCCAGATCTCTTTCATAAACTAGTCCAAGCTTTCAGAAGATCCTGTATGAATGAATATAGTAGGAGAACTTAGTCTGACTGATATGTTCACCTTAAATATACACAACTAATAAGAATTGTAATGCTAAAAGTGATTCTGGTTGCTAGTGGAACCTGGCTGGGATAGTGTTCACAGGTTGCTGCAATTAATGCAAAACTAATCACCAGTCCTCCATGGAGAAATGCAAATTACAAGTTGTTAGAGGGCCTGTTCTGTTCAATAGGATTTGTATTGCAGCTAATCCACTTAGCAGTATCTCATGTTTCTCTGTTGAGATGTTGTTTTAGGAAGTAATGAAATATGATTCCTTTCTAGAGATTCTATGGACTTCTTTAGTTTCAGCATTTTGACTCTTTTTTGTTACTAAATATGTAAGAATGTCTGTCTTTCTTTCTTTCCCATTCCCATTGGCTGAGATCAAAGTAAGTGGCCCTATTTTTTTTAGTTTTCCTAAGCCCCTGGAAACTGCATTAGATGAAGCCATAGCTACAGAATTGATCTTCTTGATGTATAGAAAATGTTACATATACAGTTCTCGTCTCTGCAGTTGAAATTCAAAGATTCTGCTGTGTCTAATATTTGGCCTGTCTGCTGGTGGGCAAGAAGAGCTGCACAAACTTGCATTTGGTTACCCATTTTCACGAAACAAACCTTTTTGCTTTGTGTTTTAATTCTTTAATTTAAAAGTAGTCATAAACAACACTGTCATGTCAAACGATCTTTTACTCCTTCTGACAGTATATATGCTTACCAGCAGTTGGTAGGAGGAAATGCATCAGCTGTGAGTTCTCCTGTCCTCAATAAAGATACTTGTCCCTAAACCTGGGTGTTCTATACTGTGACTTAATCTGAAGAGCAGCTGTGCTGAACAGATGTAGCCTGTGTCCTCACAATGTTTGTAGGGTCACAGGAAGACACATTTGAAGGAAGGCACTGGGTTGCATTTACCTCCCATTGAAACACATGACAAAATCATAAAATTCAGGTTTTATTGTAGAAAGCAAAAACATTGGAACACTAATTTTCAAGGGTTCGAGCTAGATGATCTTTAGGGTTCTTTCCAAAACCCAGACCATTCTATGATCTTACAAACCCAATGTCGTGGTTTAAGCCCAAGAAATAAGAACCATGCAGTCTTCTCCCTCCCCTGCTCTTTCTTCCCCCTGCTCCTGGAGGGATGGGGAGGAGAACTGAAAGAATGTAACTCCCACGGGTTGAGATAAGAACAGTCCAGTAACTAAGGTATAACACAAAACCACTGCTGCTACCACCAATAATAATGATAAAGGAAATAACAAAAGAAGAGAATACAATACCACCCGCTGACCGATACCTAGCCCTACCCAGCAGTACACTAGCCCTTCTGAGTAACTCTCAGTTTACATCCTGGACATGACGTGCTGCGATATGGAGTACCTCTTTGGTCAGTTTGGGTCAGGTGTCCTGTCTCTGCTTCCTCCCAGCTTCCCCTCCTCACTGGCAGAGCATGAGATTGAGAAAGTCCTTGGTCAGAGTAAACATTCTGACCAGTAACTAAAACCATCGATGTTATCAGCGCTGTTCCCAAGCTGAAAGTCAAAAACACAGCACTGCCCCAGCTACTAAGAAGGAGAAAAAATGACTGCTACTGCTGAACCCAGGACACACGATTTTGATGATAGCACCAGAATCATTACTTTTATTTAATTATGGAGGGGTAATTCCTCTCAGAACAAGTTCTGTATGTGTTATAAGTAAATTTTGTAAATAAAAATACAATGTTATTAAAATTGAATGTTTGGCAAATATTTTCTTCAGAATTAGATACGTGTTGGTCATTTGTTTTTTGCCATTTTGTTTTGTTGCCAGTTGGAAGCCGAAGAGCCAAAATGTAAAAGGTTATGAAGTCTCCTGTTTTCTGTATTCCATTGAATGTTTGACCTTTTATTGTAGAATGTAGTCTTTTCATGCAGTGAAGATTTAGAACCAGATATGCAACCAAACAAGAGCAACTTCCAGAAAATAAGATAATTTTGGTTTGTGCAGCCTTTTACTTTGACATGAAAACCATTCCTAAAAAAAAAAAAAAAAAAAAAAAGCCATCTGCTACTTTATTGTCTGATATCAGCAGCAGAATAATGTCCGATTTTAATATCATACTGCTTGACTATGTATGGCACTAATTTGTTCTGTGACATCAATGAATCAAAGTAGAGTTCCTGATAGAAGAACATCAAAAGGAAATTAATCTCTCTGTGATAGTATTAATAATTTCAGAATGGATGTGTTTTGCTCAATTATTGTAAGCGTTGAAAGCTGTGTTTTGGTGGACTGTTAGATCAATATCACAACTGCTACACAAATGGAGTGTGTAGGAGCAAGACTACTGCTCTTCAGTAGCCAGTCAGGAGTGTCAAGAAGTTTAGTCAACATTCTTAGGAAAATTTTATGGTTATTTAAGGAAAGGAGACATGGAAGTGTGAAATTGGTGGGGGAGGGGAGAAACTGGAAAAAAAAAAGGCAACTTTTCAATATGTTGGAGAAGATGGTGGGTCTGTCATTAAAGGTAACATCAGTGGAGTTTGTAACAGGAATTTACTGTGTGATACTGGAAGAAATTTAGTGCTAATGGAGGCTAATTAATAATAACTTTCAGGTATACTAAATGCATCTCAGGCAAAGATACATGTAGAAGTATGGCATGCTGGAGGTGTCATAATGTGTATTCAGCATATATATCTTGGAAATACTGTGTTTATTTAAAAGTATTTTATTATTTTCCTTTATTATTTTGTTTGGTATATAACTTGTTGGATGCATATAATCTAAATATTTATTTATTAGACAGCATGTTTCTTTATGTACCCCTCCCAAATACCCATACAGTTTCATTCACATCTTTCTCTACAAATAGATATACATGTTTTGACACAGTACATGAAATTTGGGCATTTTTATATATAGATCCTTCCAAGTGCTTACACAATTCAGGAGTAGAAGAAAGGGTTACTATGGTAAAGCATGATTTTTGTAGCTACAGAGCATGACACCCACAGACAGACAAGGACTATATTTAGGATTCCAGTTTTGTGCAGAGAATAGAACTAAATAAGCACAGAGGCCCAGATGTGAACTAAATACTGGCAGTATGGATGTGTGATCAAAATATCCAGGTATATCAGAGACTGACTAAAGAACTTA